TACACCGAATTGTGTCACAAATGAGACAATGAAGTTGATGATCTGAATGACAGCTATTAGGTTTGTCAAAGAAAGTGAGGAGTGTTGGAGAAAAGTGGGCACACATTTGGATAGACCTTGACGTGATGACGAATTGGGGTAATGGGTTGCAGCATTCCTCAATGGCAGTGTGGATGATTACCTAATCTTTCGGAGTGGCTGAGAACAAATTCTGGAGAAGAACCCACGGAATTCGCTGCACTGTAGAGGTGGAAATAGGGGTTGAGGGACGAGGGAGGTGGCACCAGCGATTGGGTCCGGACTGTTTACAGTAGCTGTTGGATTTCAATGGGGAGAAGGGAAATGGTACCGACATCTCTGCCAGTATTATAAAATTTGCATTTTTTTGATTTCACAATTGATTTCAGTCCCTTGCATAGGGAGGATTGGCTAGGGAAAGACATCAGGTGGTGTGATACTGTGAGATCTTACAAAAGATAAATGGTTTACATGGGTCGGGGTAGAGAGGCGTTCAGGACTTGTCTCCTCTTTGGAAATCCATGCCGTGTTCATTGGCCATGGGACAGGCTGTGGTAGTGAATGTTGTTAAAACAAATTGGGTCCTTGTCTTCCAGATGATTTCGTTTCATGGGACCAAAAAATAAACAGCGGCAATTCTTAATCATTCTTCGTAAATCGAATGCAATGTATGGGAGTGCGAGGAAGAACGAAGCGACGATCTGCTGTCATTTGTCCAATGAGATTGCATTGTGTTAGATGTGAAGGTGATGCAAAAGTAGTCATCTTTGAGGGGGACCTCATGCATGTTTCTCATCTCAGCTCTATTTGCTGGTTGTCGAATGTACTTCACGTGCGATTTTCAGGTGTCAAGAAAATTACTTATAAACACGTGAAGAGATACTGCTGTGATGGGTAGAATGTATCCAAAGATGAGACGGCAACTCCCTCTCTCTTTGCTGCTTCCCACTGTCAATTCCTCTCATCCGCTGAAGAACGCAAATTATCTTCCGCATAATTTTGGGGATGGGAGAAGGTATTGCGTTGGTAAGGCAGAGGGGATGATCTGTCCAAGTGAATGAGTAGTAGAGCAAGTGGCTGTTTCCGAAGGTGGAGAAGGAGCGGTAGAGCTTCTTGCAAACTATGCAGTTGTATCAGTCTGTGTCGGATGAGAAATGACACTCAGGCGAAGGAAGGATGGTCTCGCAGGACCAAAGTGGTGCTAGTGGTGGAGGTATTTGATGGGTAGTGAGTAGTGAGTGGATGCTTGTGAGTAAATAACCAATGATGGGTTCGTCTGCTTATCGTTATAATAGAGCACAAACTTTGGTGAGAAATTGGAGGGATGGAGCGCACTTTGATAGTTGAATAGACTACTGCATATCTCTGTGTGAAGAGGAATCCACACCTGTACTTCTTCATGTGTCCTCGGGTTGCAAGAGGCCAAATTACAGCGCATTGTGCCAAGATCTCTTTAGCTTGTCCACTTCATGTTTGTACTGTCACCTTAAGTTTCTTCCCACTCACTATCCTTCCATCACTAATTCACCCTCAAACTCCCTCTCACACACACAACTGTAAGTGTGAATCCCCACACATCTTTTGTCCCACCCATGAACATGATAGAAAAGTGGGATGCGTGCTGACAGATCAGCAAGGAGGTAAATGACAACGAGAGCATTATCTAGGGACTCAATAACTGCCACCTTTAAATGCCATTCCCGCCACTGTTGTATTAAACTAAGCAGCAGCATTGGGGCTTTGGTTCTGTTTCCTCTTTTCCGCTTCTTTTTTCGTAGTGGTCGATGTCTTGTGTATTGCGCAGGCGGTTGGATGTGTGGGTAGTAATGGTGAAGGTGAAAAACTGGATTAGGGGATGAGGCCACACCCCAAATCCACCCAGAAATAAGGTTTATGCCGTAGGCTAATTTGGGATTCAAAAGTAAATTGGTCTTATTTCTCTATTTCTTTTCCTTTCACTGCATTTTTGCTAAAAATCATCAGGCTTTTAAGAAGGGATTTTTCACTGTAAATGCAATGGGGTCTTTATTGCCTTGGGTGACCATATTTTGAGGGAAATTTGCGATGGTTTCACTGTGGTCTACTTCATGCTTGTAAGTGGTGCATATCGGGGACCTTAATATTAGGAGGACAAGAAATGCAAGGTAGGACTTTTGTAAGCTGGATACCACTAAGTCACGAACATCATTTCACATTCACTTTCAGCTCTTCCTCTTTTATATCCTACTAATCTCCGCCTTACATTATATGCTGCAACCAGCACTCAGCATTGCCAGATTAAGTACACGTGGCATACATGTGTGACGCATGGGTGATGCTAATAGTATGTTTGTGCTCTCCGATTCACCATGACTGTCAGGTTGGACAACCAAAAGCATTTTATTTAGAAGTAAGCTTAAAAGCTGAGCCACATGTGATCCTTCTGTGGAAGGCACTGGCCTCACTGCTTCACTGTGCTCACGCGCTGGGTAAATAACGTGGGTGGATCGCGCAACTTTCCAAATCAGTTGAAGCGTTACTTTTGGTGGCTTATTAGCAGTCTGGTAGCCAAGGTGGAGATGGAGGTGGGGTGAAGTGAGGTGAGGTGGAAAGTGCAGTTAGTTTGATGAGAAGGCTTCTGCTTGGCTAGCTCCTCCATCACTGTTCTTCAGGGAGCACGCAGGGTGACTTCTTCTTGCTGGTCGTAAATATGAACTTTTCAGAGGCATGGTCTTACTCGACAACAGTATCTTAAGTCGAATTCGTCGCTCTTGAGACAGAAAATGTGGTAAAAACACGACAACTACTTCCGACTACGCGGATTGGATAATGGATGGCCTGTAAGCACATACGTGTGGGAAGCCTTACCTTAGAAG